GCCGTCGGACGGGGCTCGCTGCCGGGCGGGGGAGGGAAAGGCCGGCGTGGGACGGCCCGGGGCCGGAGCCGCCGCCGCCGCCGCCCGGAGCGGGTTTCCCCGCAGCAGCGCCCGGGGAAGGAGCCCTTTGTCGGGCGGCGCTTCGGGCTCGTCCCCAGGGACGGAGGGCGCTTCCCCAGCATCTCCTCCTCCTCCTCCTCCGGGGGACCACCTCCCAACGCGGGCTCCCCAAAGTGGGGAGCGCTTCGCCTCCCTCAGCCCCGGGCACCGGGAGCTCTGTGTGCACCGAGCGGCATTTGGCTGTTTATTTTTCGGGTCGGTAATCGGGATCCTACGGAAAGTCGCTAAAAGCATAGAAACCGGAGACGCCTCGGGTTTGGGTTTGTTGCGTTTTGGCAGCAGGTTGTTCCTGCCTTTCCTCAGGCACCGGCACCCAAAACCTGCCTCCCTATTTTTCAGCCAAAGATGTTTTCTGGTGTAGTTCAATAATCTTTCATTTGCTGTTATAATGATATACATGTCGTTGTGTAAACGTCTTGTGTATTTTCAGCCTACTTACAGTGAAGTATCCTAACGCCAACAGGGTATAATCCTTTATTTGGAGGGATTTAGGGGGTGATCCTGTTGTGAGAAAAAAAGAGATTGGGATGCGAACAGAAAATACCAACTCGTGTAGTTAATTAACATAGCAAACAGGTATTTATTTTTAGATGAGGCATTTTATATTTTCTTTTTGCCTCCTAATTAAAATGACTTCATCCACTTGTGCCAACACAGATAATTTTCAGGCCAGTAAGTGTCTCTTCTGATAGTCTTGGTAATTAGAGCAGAGACTGGAAATTTCTTACACAAATTTTGAACAGCCAAGCTGGCAGCTTAGCCTGCAAAAATCAGCATATTTAAGCTAAAGTAGCTGGATCATACCAGTTCCCAGCAGATTGTTAACATTTGGTCGTGGGTTTTAAGATCCAAGTTGCTTTGTGCCTTGGAGACCACAGCTCTCGCGATGCGGCCACTGTTATTCCTGCTCTGACACTGAAAATTGAGATACGTTTCTTGTTAATGTGTTTGTCTATGAGACTAACTAATAGTTTGAACAATTTAGCTAGAATCTTTGCTGATAAAACACATACTTTGGTTAAACAGCAGTAGGTGTCAAAATGACACAGGCTGGAATAGAAGAGCCAGCTCCACACCTTGGCTTATCTGCAGCCACCTCCAGTTCCCCACACGTGGATTCTGCCCACACCTGCAAACAGAGAAGGTCTCGGATTTTCATTCCAATACTAAGGACTAAATTTGTAAGATTTTTTTTTGCTAATTTGACTCAATACATTTATTTAACAATCAGTAAAATGACCCCAAAGAACAGAATACATCTGTGAAGAATTGTAAATGCAACAGCAGATGGAATGAGGGCAACCTGGCATTAAAAGGAAAGCAATGCTTTTGCATGTTCCGGGGCCAGCAGTGCTACGAGGCTGTGCAGCAGAAGGCAACTAGCATTATCCTTACTGTTTTCAGTGTCTCTGTGTGGCTCCAGGATCTCATTATGCTCTACAAATATCTCTAGCTCCCTTTTAGCATCTATTACCAAGGGAAGTGTGTGTGATTGTGCTGGTTTGTGTGCATATGTATTTATGCAAGTGCCCTACCTCCAGATTTTGAGGCTGTTGGCTGAAGTCGAATCTGACTGAGTGGTAGATGTCTAGAAAAACTGATTTCCTACGGTTGTAATCAGGGATCTGGGTAGAAGTCAGATCCCCTCCTCGTGCCCTTGCCGATGGGAAGGTGGCAGCGCAGACTCAGCCTTTATTAAAGAATCCACATGGAGGGAGAGATCAGAAATGCTCTTATCCTGCAGAAAGCATCCAGAGACACACTCATCGTCTCGGGGAGCGGGGGCCCTGAGCTCGAGGTGTGAATGCAGCAGCTCTGCAGTGAGTCAGTGGCCAAGCCAGGAATAGAAGCCTTGGGCAGGCTGGAGAGAAGTGTCAGCTTGTCGAGGAGGAGAGAGAGACACGGGGGGAAGCACAACACTGTGTGAAAACCAGCCTGTGCCGTGAGCTGAAAATGCTGTAAATTTTGATTTTAAGGCCTGTAGCTCTTTCTTGAATTAATCCTACGTGGGACAGAATAGGAAGGGTGTAAGAAAAATACTGTATAAGGTGCTGCTGGGCTGGATGGAACTGTCTCTTGGGACTCCAGAGCATCTGCAGGCTCATTCCATCTGGGAAAAAATCACCACCACGCACGGAGAGCACACGGCAGCACGGATGGGGGTAACGCCGGGGGAGCCCCTCGTGTGGGGGGTAGGAGGAGGGTTTGGGTGCAATCCTTGCCCTCGGTGCTGTGGGCTGGTTTTGGGGTCGCCCAGCACAAAACCAGCACTTTGTGGAACAAAGCGCCGTGTCCGGCTACTCAGGTGTTTCCTGACAGTGGCTGCCTTCTTCCAGAGAGGCAGAGGAAGGAGCTTTTTGATTTGGCTTTTGACACAGGAATGCAGAACACATTACCTTGCTGTAGCAATCAGCACCTACGCTGCTTTAACCGTGTTTAATCTGTAGTAAAGTAATCAAGATAATAATAATGTGAAAAGCAGTCTGAAATAAAGTGTTGACTATTTCAAAATGCTACCTCTATATACTTTAGGATACAAATGCTTCGTTGACTGTCATTGCATTTATAAAACAAGCTTTAAAATGAAGATGAAATGCAATCCATCACATGTTTCCAGCAGAGGGCACACACAGCACTTCGCAGAACCAAAAATCTTTGAATTCTGCTCTTACTAACTGCTGGGACAGAAGTGATGGGACAGAACCAGATCAGATTCAGACTCTACGAAAAATTAATAATTTGTCCAACACTTGTGACAAAAAGCTATTGGTCAAGTTGGGAATGGAACTCTTCAGTTTGCTTCAGAATATGCAAATTTGACATTATGCAGAAAATCAGTGTGAGTTCTCCTTGATTTTTCGCCCGTGTCCCCACGACGTGTAAATAGTTTTCCGAGGGAAGTGTGATATTTGCAAAGGGAGGACTGCAAATGGGTTTTCTGCCTGCACAGGACAGTGCTGGGCACAGTGTTAAGTGTAACTTAATCTCTGCTCAACATTATTTGATTTTAAGGGATTTCAGGCAGCTGCGGTGTCACTTTTTGTTTAGTTTTGTGTTTCCTAATTATTTGATTTTACGGGATTTCAGGCAGCTGCTGCCGTGTCACTTTTTGTTTAGTTTTGTGTTTCCTTATTTCAGAGACTCAGTGACCCGCAGCCTGTCAGTGGGCTGGGAAGGGTTCCAGCACCCAGCGGGGTGAGACACGGCGGCCACTGAATTTCAGTGTTTCACAAGGGCCATTCCAGTCCCTCATGCAGTTAAAGGTCCGCGTGCAGCCGCTGCCGGAGCTGGTCGGGTGACACCGTCACACAACGTGGAGAGGATGCTTCAGTGACCACAGCCTGGCAGTGGGCTGGGGAGCGTTCCAGCACCCAGCGGGGTGAGACACGGCGGCCACTGAATTTCAGTGTTTCACAAGGGCCATTCCAGTCCCTCATGCAGTTAAAGGTCCGCGTGCAGCCGCTGCCGGAGCTGGTCGGGTGACACCGTCACACAGCGTGGAGAGGATGCACAGAGGTGTCTGTCCTGAAGAGAGGACCAACGCCACTGCCACCAGTAAGGCTTGGTGCTCGGGTATCTTGGGTCTGAGGAATAACTGCCATTGGGTAGACAGGATGTAGGCAAGGCAGAAGTGGTGCCAGGAGGCAGATAAAAGCCTTTTGCAGGTTCCACAACCCTATATTCATTCTTCTTTCTTTGAAGATCCCACACCTTTTAATCTGTGGAAGCCACTGCGTGGAGAAGTGGTGGCACAATGTGTGAGGAGCTCTTAACGTTGAGTCAGGGTAAAATGAGTTATACCCCTGGGTAAAATGAGTTATACCCCTGGGACTGTGAAATGAGAAGTGTTCCACTGTCCCCAAATTCAGCCTATGAACAGCCTAATGGCTGCGTTACAGCCATCACTTGATGCGCTGCTGGACTGGGATGTCCCAGGGATAAGAATTGCATAAAAACTGTATAGAATAACTCAGCAACAAACACTTCCAGCGCTGTCTGGAAAATAGCTTGGGATACGTGTAGGATGCGACACCGCATAACTAGAAGGTGATATATCCACATAGTAAATATACGCCTCAGTTCTTCTTTTTGCTCCTTTTCCTCATTCCTATCCATCCATGGTGCCAAATGTCTCACGGTGTTTTTTATAAATAGATAAACTTTACTATTTCTTAGTGCGTATACTTAACAAACGGCCTTACTAAATAACACACTTGGGAGTTTTCTCCCCTCCTGCGCTGCCCGTGACTCACCCCACGGGCCCTGGCTGCTCCTGGCCCTTCCCAGGGGACTCTCTGCCCCTCCAGCACCCTGAATCCCAGAGCAGTGAACTGGACCTTACCCTTTCCAGCCCCTCCCTCCTCCTCTGTTTGCCCAAGAGAAGGGAGACCTGTTCTTCTAGGGATCCTCTCCTGCTCGACTGGTCCCGACCTGGTTCAGCACCCGCGACCAGCT